GTCGCTATCTATCAACACCAGGTTACCTCAGGTAGCATCCTCAAGCCGGAAGCGATCGATGAGCGGAAACATGGTGATGAACATGCCTCCACTCACCACCAGCCTCAGTGAGGATGGCATGATCTCAGCGCATTCCAACTTGGACGCCCTCAACTTGAACCACGTGATGCTCGAGGAAAATGAAATGGGAGAGGACCCTTTGTTACCCCCTGCCCAGTATGTGTCCTCGAGATATATGACAATAGTGCATAAAGACCGTAAGGACCACAAAGACTACAAAGATCATAAAGAAAAGGAAAGTTTAGTGAGCAGACAGCAGGGGGACTACTGCACCACAGATATATCCCGTGATTTATGGACGAGTGTCACGCCTGTATAGGGTAACGCCAACCTAGGCAAGTCTAAGTGACCAAAGTAGTGTTCTAGTGTTTTAGATGGCAAAGTTACAGCTATATATTGCAGCTTCTTTCTTGAGAAGCCTGAGACCAGATCATAAGCAAGAAAGCTCATATTAAGTACTCAGATGCTAATCTTTTCTGGTCATTATATTTTATATTATTTAAGTGGTATTTATGAGATTTTATTCCCTGTAATTATAAAGATAATGAGCACAGAAGAGATGCTTGCTGATATTAGCTTGTACTCTACACTGTGGATATTGACACTGCAGATGGCATCTATCAGTATTATCTCATTATGCAAGAAGATTCATATGCAAACTCTGATGCAATATGAATCATTATTTTAAGACAGCTATTATGTGCCAACGCTGAAGATGAAACCTCGCGGGTGAATGTTAGTAGTGGCTGTGTAGTGGAGCAATGTCACAGCTCTGGGCCCACAATATTCCACTCTTTCCTATACTTCATGTGACTGGAGCATATACAGCAATGTATGTTTGTATTACATTACAGTTTGTAGGCTTATTGGTATATGAAAACAGTATTTATGGTGGAATATATTTGCAATTGGATCATATAATAGAAGTCACTTAGTTCTAGTGAGGGTTGGATTTCACATTTGTGAATGCAACATGAGTATTGTGCTAATGCACTGAAGAAAAGAAGTTGAATGTAAAGTAAGTGTATATAGCATATCATAGGCATTATTGGCTGTAATAGGCTTACAATTGCATCACTTCAAAAAGTAGCTCTTCATTCAGATCCCTCATAAAACACAAATTTTGATTTAGCATCAAAAAATGTTTTTATGTAATTTTCATACTAATTTGAAATGAAATTTATCACATAGTAGCATACCTAGATTTTAACAATAGATTGGAAAGCTGCTAAAAAAAAGGTCTGTCACTTTGCTGAAAATATGTTGTAATGACCATCACCAAAACCTGTTCTTTCATGTTCAAACATGTAACCTAAAGCTATTTTCCATTAACTCCTTCAACTGTGTGCTGTGAAACAAATTCATCTAGTCTGCTGTAAATCAACCCAGGAGAATTTTAGATATTCTTTATGGATTTCAAAATGGCCCTGTTATACTGATGCTCATGCATGCTTATTCTGTTATAAATATTATTGTATGTAATAGTTGATAATCTACACCTCATTTTGCTTTTCTGCTACAACTAATTTATTCAGACTCAACATAACATAGAAATATCCAAAAGGAAAGAGTGAAATGGTCATGTTGACCTTTTTCCATAAGGACTGGTTGTTCTGTTCAAGTTTCTTGGTGCAATGTACCACAAGTCTGTATTACTTGATCAAGTAGGTCGGACTGTCTTCTTGGTGTATGCTCCAGGATTGACAAGGGCTATGTGGTGCCTGTAGTCAATGTTGTGAGGATGAGAAAAAAAGAAAAAAAATGAAAAAACTAAAAAGGAAAAAAAGAAAAAAAAGGTTTAGTGGTGCCCAAGGTCTTTGCTGCAGGACAGAAATGAGTCTTGCAGGCAGTTGCTAAAATAAGCTTCTCTTGGCTTCACTGCACTCCTCTGTAGTCATTTATGATCATAGTTGGTTGCTATGGTTGGTATGTGCTAAGCACACATCTTATATATGTACAGTGCTATAGCTTTTAGGGAATAATCATACGTAACACAATGTATATGCAGTCATCAGTCATCACCATATTTATCACCTCACTCATCAAGTTTAAGGTTGTGTATGCATCTACCATTTAAGGAAAACGAAGCACATTCAGAAATTAATTTTGTCTTATTTTCTGGATGGTTATCATGAACAATCTTTATAATTTCATTGACAGGGTCAGTTAAAGCCGAACTTTGAAAGGTAGATGTTGTGGACACTGAAGCTCCGTAAAGATATTTACCCTGATCAGTTGCTTTCAATCGTAATTTATGATTATTATTATCTGTTAGACATATTTTTATTACTTTGAAAACCAAATTTGTGTCAAGAATACTTACATATGATATTTTATTATATTTATGATATTTAAAGATAATATAAAATTATTGTTAAAGTGTTTAATAATAGAAACATTTAATTCCTTTTACATAGGGGCCTATGTGTAAAACTGAAATCAGTAAATAAAAAATGAATGGTGATATAGTTACTACCAGGAGAGTTGTGTGCTCTGTTTGAGCAATGAAACATTGTCTTCACTTTTAGTTATATGGTTCTGAATATAACTGATTTTATATAATAATTTTACAGATTGGATATTTACAATAGCTATATTGTACAGTCATTCATTCTACTGAATTTGAAAACAATTTATATGCAGATATGTCAGTTTATGTAAGTTGCCTTCATTGCCACTATCATAGGAGAGTGCAGATATGTGCATCAGTTTATGTCTTATTCACTTTCTTTGAAGTGAAGAGAAGGTTCATCAGAATATGAAACATTCAGTAGGAGAACTTCAATTGAAAATTCAGTATAAAAGACTAAGAATGAAAACAGTAAAATTCATAGTTCCCCTCTGAAGTGATAGCCAGGTGCACACTACCTGATTTCAAGTAATTTATTATGTCAGTTCAGCCAGATGTGTTGTTTAAAAAGGGAAAGTTATGGCAAATATCTTATTAACCAATGTTTTCCTTGGTGGTTTAAGATGCTAATGAGACCCAGGCATTCCTAGTACCAGACCTCCACCTCAGGGTAAATGTATTTAATAATAACTGGTTGCAGATGGCAGTATTCATAACAGTGAGAGTGGATGCTTCATGCATGGATGTATCATTTGAAAATTTATCAGTGTTAAATACATTAAAAATAAGCCTCTCTTTCAGATGTAAAAATCCAGATTTTTGGAGAATAAACATCAGTAGGTCACTTTATACTTACTTTAAAGACTGATTCATATGTAATGGTTCCTAAAAGTAGAAATATGTATTCTCAATGTGTTTGGGAAGCATAAGTATATAGAACAGAAATCCCATAAGTATCCATTAAAACCTGTAGATTCCATTTTTACACAATATTTCTTTCATCTGAATTAATGTAAATTATAAAATTTTATTGTAATTCATGACATTAGAAAGGTTTTCTTAAATTATGTAAAATTAAAGCATGTTTATATATGCAGAGTTGGGAAGTACTGCACCTACTTTTATACTTTAAGATTGTCTTTCAATTATAAAGTTATTTGCCAAAGAGTGCTGATTCCTTAAAACTTTATGAAAATGACCACACTACTAACAATGTCTCTAGTGTTACATATTGAAAAAAATTGTACTGAGAAATAGAAAGTACCACTAGGTAGTATCACTATTAGTTTTATTAGTGGTTCACTTTTGCCCTTTTATTGGGCAGAGCAAGTACTGCTATAAGGACAGCTGGCAGGTTTCAAGAAATTTTGCGAGCAGTTATGGTAATCAACCTCTTTTTCAAATATAATTTACTGAATACTAGACGACTGTAATGCCCCCAAAATTATTGGCAAATTTCCCAGCTCTGCTCATAAACTCAAGGTTTTATATGATATATATGTGTAGGGGGTGCATGTGTGCGTGCATGCGTGCGTGTTCAGAAGGCTATTATTTCAATGTCTTTTAAACCCATTTTGTAATCTCTATATTTCTGGGGGCTTTGGAAGAAATTACCTTGATTTTTTTTTTTTTTTCTACATAATGTTGTGGCAGTAATTTTCTTCTTTATTTATAACATGATTTAAGCCAAAATATATTTGGTTTTACAAAATATTTCTTCATTGGTGGTGCATTATTCATAGAGTGTATATTTTGGTATTCTAAAGCCAAGAAAGTAAAGAAATAACTTATTAGATCTTCCTGTGTCACAATGCACCTATAAACTAATAAAAATAATTACAAAGTTTCCCATTGAAATTCATTTGTTCTAGTTATTTTTGCTACTGGTTGCGTAAAAAGTTATTCATGCTTTTTGTCATTTAAATACAGTACATTAATTTAAGCTCAAAAATACAATGCAAAATCAGAAGTTTTGATCTTTTAACACTTTAATTTTATGTAATTCTGGATATAAGAATAGAGATATTGCAAATCAGGTGTTAGCTTTTCATTTCTATGGCAAATAGATTACAGTGTATCATATGTTAAAAAAATTCTCTATGTTTAGTCTCCCTCCCATCATTTGCTCTCAGTTGATTTTAATAGATTTTCATTGCATGTACATACATACACATTAAAGGAGTGATCATTTAATTTTAATAGTCACTGGTTTTTCATATGTTTTTATTGGATATTAAGAATTAAATTTTAAATTAGTATTATTTCATGTCCATGTGGCAAAAAAAAAATATATATATATATATTCAGTCAGGTCAAAGGTTGGAGTGCACTGAACACTGTTACACATTTGAATACATTAAAGCTGAAGTCAGTAAATAAGATGAAAGTTTGTCGAGGTTTTTCCAATTTTCAGTCTTTGAGAACATCATATTTTTGCCAAATTTCTAGAGTGTTGCCACATGTTACCACAAGTTAGCACCATCATCAATTTGTTATATATTTATGAGTAAGAAATTCTCATATATAACTTATATAACAGTACTTACAATATTGTGATTCTTTACGGAATATGGCCAATCATTTGTTAATC